ACATTCGTAAGTTATTTTATTCTGGGGTCCCACATACGTATACAAGTACTAGGTGGCTGTGTGAAAATTACGTTAGCATTCCTTAGTGGTGGTCAAACCCCAGGAAGGTTTTGCTCCCTCGCATCGCTATGTTTTCTACACAGGGTTAAAGTTCCCTCTTTATGGTAAACATTAGTATTATTTTTCATTACATTCGGTTCTCCTTAGAAAAATTTGGCGCTTTATATTTTAGTGGAAGTTTTAACTATCTATAAGCCATTTTTTTCAACAGTGGGTCAAAAAGTCCCATTCTGGTTCGAGTTGATAAGACTATTGCAAAAATTTATTGAGAGCGGCATAAATTACCCCAATAACTAAACTTTAAACAATTTTTTTTTTTCTTTAAATTTAAATAGTATATACGGATCTGTAGAGAATATAGAGATCCGTGTGTGTATGTATGTATATACCTCAGACCTTCTTCTGTTCGCCCATCAATCAGCGCCAGACACTCAACATTTTAATTCAAGTAGGAAGTAACAATATTTAAATTTAAAACTAATTCAATAATGAAATAAATAGAATTATAATAATAGAATAATTGGCATGGCGAATGCCTAACGCTGACGAGTTGAAATGATAATATTAGTAGCCTCATGGCTCTTTGAAATCTACCTTATGAGAAGTAGCGCCGGCGTTTCCAGACGCGCCGGCGTCGCCGCCACCGCCGAATCTTTTTGACGTTGACCACGCCGCCGCCGCAAAGCCTGTCGGCGTAAACCTCTAGTGTGGGATTCATCAAGAGCAGCACATACGTCGTTGCCATCACACGTATGTACATAGATATACTATAAGTACGGTGACCAGATTTCTGTGAATAAATTTCGGGACATTTCTAAAGCATCGAATCCAAACATACAATTTGGTTTTTAGAATAAAAACACATAACATCTTTTAATATAGTTATATTTAAGACAAAACAAAGAAAAAATTAGGGGATTCACAAGACGTGTTAACCGTCGTAAAATCTTAAGGTTAACATCTTTTTTAATTAAAATGGTTTTAGGGGATTTCTAACTAAACCGAAATTCTTTTAAACTGATAAAGAATATATAATTAGCCAACCCCCCAACCATTTTAACCGCTATTTTACATAAACAAGTGTTAAGCTTAAGATTTTACGACGGTTAACACGTCTTGTGAATCCCCTAAATATATACGATGGCGATAATATAAATAGGGAAAAGACAATTTAGCAAGGTTTGGCTACTTTTCTTTGTTTAAAAAATTTCTATTATATGTTTTTTTAAGAAAATGAAGCTTACTTTCTAAAAAGTACCTTGTAATTCGACGAATTTTAACAAATGTTGATACAAATTTTAAACTTATCAATCAGACTTTTAGAATTTCTTTGAGCATGCAGCTTTGTAGCCCATTCAATTTTATTATAACAAATTGCAAGTTCGAGGTAGCTTAGACCTACCGTTGATTTTTGGAAATTTTTTGTTAGCGCATTTTCTTCCATACAAAGTATGTGCGACAATTTATTTGTATGGAGAAAATGAGCAACACCATCCACAAAAAAATTTACCTAAAATCAACGGTAAGTCCTAGCTACATAAAATTTACACTAATATAATTGGATGGGCTACAAAACTGTAATTCAAGTTAGAATCATTTCATAAAAAAAAAACTTAACAACTAATTATGAAAACCTTAAAAAATATTTTTTGACAAGAAAGATGACTGCAATATAGCAAGAGTTCCAGTTAGGCAGTGTAAAACATAAACAAAGATTATAGACACTAAGTATGCTGGCTATGTTTGTAGCTCCCCTATATTCTGTTCTTTGTGAAAACGAAAGTGCTGCCTCGTGTGTAGGACATTTTTTTTTGGCCAGATTACAAGAAGACTCTTGTTAAATTAATAAAGGAAGCACAGAAAATCGGGATTTAATCGGTGCCAATATGAAAAATCAGGACAATTATACGTCCCGACTTTTAAAAAATATTTAGCGCAACAATTTTCTCAATATCGGTACTGTCACACCAAAATCGGTACGAATGGTCACCGTAACTATAAGCTACTTCGTACAGCGCATTGCCTAACATACTTAATCTGAACTCAAATCTCACGGGTAACTGACATAACTTCCATGGACATGACTTCCATGGCTCTTTGGAAATTAGTTCATACTTAATTTTGCTCGAAGATCAGACATAACTTCCAGAAGATTTCCACGAAAATCTTGTGGAAGCTATGCCATGGCTTAACTTCCCCTCTTTGGCGATCTAATTATTAATATTTAGGAATAAAACCCAATTACGGTTTCAGTGAAACCTTGACAGTTTTCTAATTTATTTCGTTTATATGATTTTTTAAGGATAAAACAACACACTTTTCCTTAGAAAACTCGATCCAGTCATCATCCAAGTCGCCCTCCATTTCAATGTCCAATTAGTCTTCTTCATCGTTTTCTAATCAATTTTTCTCGACTACTTTTTCTAAAGCCACCTTCGGTAGAGTTTGTTATTTTACCTTGACTTGGCTGATCTTGGTGGCTGGTAACCATCATTCATAACTCGCAAAAGCTGGGTAGAAATATCATCCTCATCTGAGGAAAGCGAAAGTAAACGGAAGAAATTCCCGTTAATAGAAAAACGTTTTCCTAATGCAGCGTTTAAAGCCGTAGTGATGCGCACTTTTAAACTAAACATTTTCTAAAAATAAAGCACTAAATTAAAAAAGCATCTGATAAGTCATAAGAGTTTCACTCACCGGTTTTAATCAACAACTTCGAAAATATTCGAAAATTAATTGCATTAATGTAAAACAATTTAAATTCATTGCTTGTGCTACTAAAACCTTATATCCAGCCGTTATTTTATTGCGTTGAGGAAGTGGTAAACACAATAATGTCATATAGATCGTCTTAGATTTCGGTACATTGACCTTTTTTTTTAATTTTAAGCGAAAATATAAATTTTTGCACCGGACTTCGAGTTTTGACACAAAAATTTAAGATTTTTTATTAAGTGGAGTTCATCAATTTGTGCAGTGAGCTGCTCATTTAATTTACAATTATCATAAAACTTATGTATGACATAACTTCCGTGAGCCAGATCTGTGGAAGTAATGTCAGACTTTACTGCCACGGACCAAATATCGATCGATTGTACCAATTTCAAGACATAACTTCCATGGAACTTATGGAACTTATGTCACGGTTCGGTGAAAGTTATATCCGTGGAAGTTATGTCGATACCCCAGTATTATAATGGTTACCTAGAAAGCAACAAAGACAATCATCAAAGGATTCGTGGTAAAAGTTGGGTGATATCCCCGAACCCGAATTCAAAACAAAAAATGGAAAGCTATCGACAATTGTAAGAGCTGGTTTTCACTGTGTCATATTTCGACGAAAAAATATGTCGACATATTTTAACACAACCTTATCTCCTTTATTCATACCTTCACTGATTATATCATAGGCCAAACACGAACAGATGCTATACCGATCTTTGTCATTTGCATTGTGAAAACTAGCCTTAGTAATGTACTGGACAAACTAGAAACCAATAAGAGGGCTACTGTGTGGTGGGACCAACAAATAGATAACTCCCTCTCGTGGAGGCTATGAACCCGCGAAGGTTGAAAATCTATCACTGGATTCCTTACAGGACATTGCAAGCTATTGTACCACCTTTTTGAAACGTCCTTTTGCGTTAAAAGTGGCAACTACGTTGCTATTGTTATTTTCTGTAGATACAGCGGTTCGAATAAATTGGAAGATCGATTCCCACTGCTCATTTATATCTATTGAGTCAATGAGAAGTTTCGAGTCGATTGCGAAAGTTCTCGCGTGTCGTTTGAGACCGTAGTTTTTCGACATCGAAATTTCGTCGCGCCTATGAGAACGTTAGCAGTTTGGTCAGAGGACATCCAACTGGTTTTATGGATGCTTCGATGCTGTTGTATGGTCCTATTAAATAGCTACTACTATATTCCGTGTTGCGGCGAAGTCTATGAGGCACTCTCCGTTGTCAGAGGTTTGATCATTAGGACAAAAATTTCCAACTGCTGGGCCAAATAAAGTTTAGCTTTCATGCGAATTGTGGGAATTCGTTCACTGATGGGGTGAACATGGGTACAAGCTGTAGAGGCCAACAAGTCCCACATCATGGCAGCTGTAATATATTAATGTAGCAGGCTGCAAATATTTGGCAATTATTTGGACGGGGTATGTTTGTGTGTTTTCTGTACTGTGGTTACTTCAGCCTGGTATTTCTCTAAGCCAGCAGTTGGATAGAGGTATCTTTCCTACAGGGAGTCCAGATATGCTAAGTGCATATCCGTAATCGTAGCGAGGGTCGTCTAAATACTACGAGGGTATCAATATTCCGAGGCTGCTTGTTTAGACTTTTCATTGGATTTTGGTTTTACGTGGTGGGTCCAAGCCCAGCTTACAGCCCATTGCTGGGAACTGTAGTTTCTCTACCAAATACGTAAAATATAGCGAACCGCTTGCTCCAAATCAGACGCCCGCTCGCAGCTGCACTTCATGGCGAACAGACGCTGCAGACTTCAGTGAGCCTTTAAAATTATGTTTTTGCGGTATGGTTTTAGGCGCAGTATAAAGAAAATTGTCATGTCATGAGTTTTGTCATTGCTTTGCGAATAGGGTTGACACTTAAGGGTATGGGAATAGCAATGGGTAAACGTAATGTTATAGTACGTGTAGTATATTTTGTGTAGATTTAATCGTTGATTCGTAATTACTTAACTAAGGTAGTATTATGAAATTATTTCGTAAACAATTTTTATTTTATTTTTTTGATTAGGCTGCTTTGCATAGAATATGAATATTTTCTAAACCTTAACTATTTGAGAGCCGCTGTATTATAGTAGTTACTGCGCATGTCTTCTAATTATTTCCTTCGCTCGTCACTATTCAGCTACTATCTTTTCAATATAAACCTCTATCAGCAGTTGAGGTACATAAACATATAAGGAGAATTCGGCCAGCTGTCAAAGAAATGTGGTGGAGCGCGTACTTTTTGATTTTTTTTTTATAGCTTTTATCGCAGTACAATGGGCGTTCCAGATAGCAAATATCCGAACTCTTAAAAAGAGCGGAATAAAGTTTTTAGTAAACATGGGAAATCCGGCATTTAAATTGCTTTGGCTGACAAGAAACTGTTCGAGGTTGAATAAGAATTTTCCTAATAAAATTTGTGAGAAGATATTACAATGTAAATTTAAATATTTTTTTGCAAACTTCAAAGCAAGCAACGCATATTACATTAATGGAGCCAGTTTATCGTAGGATAATTAGTGGGAACCATATCTTAAAAGAAGCTCAACGGATGTAACAAGTAAAAGGATGACTAAAATCGAAGAGACAAAGGCTGAAAGGAGGAGGTTGTGAAGAAATTTGCAAATTGGAGCTTATTTCAAATGCATTCATAAACATATACAAATGTATGTATATATGTATGTATACTATACACATCGTAACTTGTACTAACAATCTCCCAAAAGTTCATACAAATTATAAAAAATGGAATGAATAAATCCATGAATTAGAAACGAAAATGTTTTCATTTTATTTCAAGAGCCGCATATAATTAATGCGTATCATATTTTGCATTGAATAGTTAGTACTCGCCATTGGGGTACAGTCGTTCTTCTGGGTATGCAGATATAGTTGCCAGGCTATACTCAATCCCACCTCTTGCGCCCTCGTTCGCGCACTCTGGGTCGAGTGGAGCCTGGGTTCCCACAGAGAGCGAAGAAGTTTCAGTGTGGCGACTGCGACTTATTCAATTCAGTTAAAGACTCACTGAAGCTTGTAAATATCGTCTGTTCGCCTTGAGATATGGCTGTAAACGGGCGTCTGCTTTGGAGCAAGCCGTTCGCTATATTTATTTGTATTTGTTTGAGAAACTACATAGTTCTCTCAGCAATGGGTTGAGCGCTGGGCTTGGGACCAGCCACGTTAAAACAGCTTCCAATAAAGTCGAAAGAAGTCTCGGAATCTTGCCAGTCCCAACGTTGATGACTCTCGCAAATGGGACAGGGACTACGATTCACGGATATGCACTTGGAATATCCGGAACCTCTATAGGGATGGTGTCTCTAAAGAACTTCTAGTTTTCTCAGAGACATAATCACTGTACACAAATTGCGTTGGGCTGGACATAATTGCCAAATATTTGCAGTGTGCTACATTCCTTACAGCTGCCATGATATGGGTGGTAGTTGAACGGAGGCCTCAAAGCTTCTACCCAGTTTCACCCCATCATGAACGAATTGCCACAATCCGCATGAAAGCTAAAAATATTTGGTCCAACAGTCGGAGATTTCAGTTATGATCACAACAACGAAACAGCATCAGAATATCCATAAAATTATTTGAGTATCCCCTGATCAAATACTTTGACGAGCATAAAACGCCTTTGTTGCGTCCTGGGTAACCATTGTGAGACTTGAGGTCAGGTTGAGTCTTTTAAGCAGTGTCACGCCTAATTATACAACACTTAGGATTCGTCTATCTCGTCCCGTCCCTCCCAATTTAGGTTTGGTTAGGTTGAACTTCCTTCCTTTGGTGAATGGGCAGACAATATACTTTGTTGGGTTTATTAAAAAGCCCTTTTCATAACACCATTCTAGGATTAAATTTAGGGTTGCCTGCAGTCTGGAACATATGGTCTCCTCCTACCAGTCTACAACGTAGATGACAAGGTCGGCTGCATAGTCTTATGCATTTAATCCGTTGGCCTTACAAAAGTATCGCGAAAAGTCACGAAAAACACAGTAGTCTTAAAAACTGCGAAAATATCATGAAACTTTTTATCAAGTTTTCGTTTTGTGTCACCACTCCTATCTCTTAAAATTTAACGCCTAAAATATTATACTCACTTTTTCATACACTTTTTTTTACATAATTTGCGACAAAATCAAATTGAATTTCGTCTGAAATTAACCTAATAAAATCGAAAAGCGCTCAAATATGTACCTACAACAATTTCCCTAAATTCACTAAATTCACACGTTTACAATTCTTGAATGGTATTTGCTTTGTATGACTCGAGCAGCTTTTATAGAATACTTTTTTTTGCCAGCTGCTATCTGCTTTTTGCCCGCGGATTAACGTGGAATTCCTGAATAATTGTCGAAGCAATCAATGGCTGCGAAATCGCTGTTAATGGCAGCAAAACTCAGCTCGTGCACACTAGGGTGGTCCAAAAATGCTTGTGGGGAAAAAGTAAAGCCGGAATTTTAATGCTCTTACCCCCTAGGATCGTTTTTTTTATTTTGAAATAAAAAAATATTTAGACGCGTCTCAAAGTTTTCCATATATTTTATATGTGAACAAAATATTTTTCGCGAAAATAATACAGAATTCTAGAAAATCAGTATTTTTCTATCTGGAGACCCAGTTGTTTATTTTATTTATTTTTAATACTAGCGGTTTTTATGGGTCCCCCTTTTGTATTTTTGTGAGTAATCAGGTGACCTATAAAAAGTTGTGATCATTAAAAATTTTATTTATTATTATCGAAAGTGTCAAGAAGAGAAACAAAGTTTTCCGCCCGAAAAATATTGATTTTCAAGAATTCTGTACCACGTCTACCAAAAATTATTATTTTTTTCCATAACATGGAAAGTTTTAACGCTTTGCGCGACCTCTAAATATTTTTTGATTTCAAAATAAAAAAAATGGAAGATTAATTTTTTCGGTATAGAAAAATCCTACGGGGCAGAGCATTCAAAATTCTGACTTCTTTTTTTTTCCCACCCTATTGCACACACTACCGCCAGTTAAAATGCGCAAATGCAGCATCGCTACGCAGCACAGTCAGAGGCTGAATTCGTGGCCTTAGGTATTTGGTAATAACTCATAATTTTATATGCAATGATGCTTATTTAGAAGGACACTTGGCTTCAATTTAAATATAAGTGATAGATATTGTTGCCTGATTTTCAAATATTTCTCAAATTTTAGATATTAACTTACCGTTTCCTCGTTTTTGCTCATTAAATTAAATTTTACATTTAAAAAAGGTGGCAAATCCCTTCAAAAATATTTTGGTTTTAAAGATTTCTTAAAGCTGCTTCGTTTGGCAAACATATGAATATGTGTACGCACTTACTGAAAAATTGTAATACATAATTTAACTTATTGTCTAAATTAAGTTTATCTTTTAGACAGGTGGCAACACCTTTTGTAACTATTTTCGAAATTAAGCTCTTTTAACCCGCTAGCGCTGGTTAGCATATTAAAATATTTCATTTAACTTATGAATTAAATAGATTTTGGATTTTTTAACGGGTGGCAAACCTCCGCAAAAATATTTTTTAAAATCAAACTTGCTTAACCACCTCTCGTTGGATACTCATTTTGAAAAATTTCGACTTAATTTTTTTTAATATCTTTTGCTGGACACTCACCTCGTAATATTTTATTTATCTTTTTAATAAATTAATTTTAACTTTTGAAAATGGTGGCAACTTTCTTTCCTGCGTGAAATGCGTCCATACTTACAAACACACATAAATACTCATTCACAAACTTTCATATTTATAATATAATAGTAGAATACATACATTTATTTCATTAGCTTTTTCATTCATTTCCTTCTGTTAAAGAGCTTGCTAAATCAAATACATATATGCAAATATTTACAAATTAAAATTTTTCCTACAATTCTTTGAAAAATTTTCTCCATAGGAAATTTAATTTTCCTAACAAATTTTACGCCCACAAAAATGTTCGACAAAAAATCGTAAATAACTCAACTTTCCACAATAGATTTGCAAAAATGTTTGTCTCATAATTTTTTTCGTAATTTATGAGTTCTTCCATTTTCCACACTCACGCAGGCGTTAAAGCGTTGTGTGTCAACTGTGAAAACAAAAGGCAGCGCGCGCTGAACCGTTCATCCTTTTGCTTAGTTAGTTCGCTATGTGGATATATGGATGGGAAACTTGCTTGCTTGCGTTTAAATTTCTTTGCTTTTATCGCTTCGCGTAGTCATTTAGCATATTCAGCACTTTTTGGATTCGCATATTTTAAAAAGTATTTTTACTTTAATTTTTTTTTTACGATTCTTTTCGACTTTCATTCCAACATTGCATTTTATGTGAATGAAATGAATTGCGCTTTTCTCTTAACTAAATCCGCACAATTCGCTTTGTACAAATTGTGCTTTGCTTGCTTTTGCTTTTGCTAAAAGCCATTTATTGTTTGAGGGTTTTGTGTGTGTGTGTGTGTGTGTGTGTGTGTGTGTATATGCTTGTGGTGATAAATTTATTATTTTATCCGATTACTTTGCATTTACTACATTTAAGTGGCTTATAGTAAATAAATATACATACAGACTTAGAAAATCAGTTAGTAAGGAATTTGCAATGCTAATATACATAAATGCAATTAAAGTTTATGCTAATGGGATAAACAACATTACTGGTTTTATAAAATTTAAGTATGCTTGTCATAAAGCAACGATAATAATGATGAACGGTCTTTTTTTTTTTTTTATCACCTAGTATTGTTGTTTAAACTAAGAGATACATTGGCATTAAAAAATCTAAATTGTGGCAAAGCGAATGAATCTCTGGAGTTGAATGAGGTTGAGACGAAGTATCTTCTGTCCTCAGGAAAACATTCGCACTCTGTCGTCCTCTAGTACAGAGCTTCCTAAAGTAGGTTCCGTAAGAAAGTCACCAGGGACCCGTGAAATTCGAAGAGTCGCCGCCTTTTAAAAAATTAAGTTCAAATTATTTAAAAAGTTAGACCAATTAATAAAAAATGGGTATCAATCGAAATGGTTTTATGGTACTTTCTTAGCTTTACTGTAGGAGGGGTGCCACCTGTTTAAAAACTTATATTCAATTTGAATTCCTTAAGGGAATTAGGTAATAGAGAGAGTTTAAAAAGATAATAGTTTGTAAATATTTTGAAGAGGGTTGCCACCTATTTGAAAAGTCGAATTCCTTAACACTTATACACTATGAAATTTTTAAATATGCCAGCAAAAGAGCGTTAAGAAGTCCTTAATTTTAACACTTAGAATAGTTTGTGATATTTAAAGAGGGTTGCCACCCGTTTAAAAAGTTAAATTCAAATTTTTTTTTTAATAAGTTTAATGAATTATTCAAATATTTTTATCAATCGAAATGGGTTTGATAGCGCTTTATTTCTTAAATATTTTTGTCGAGTTGCCTCATGCTTAAAAAATCAAATTCAACTCAATTTATCGGTTAATTAAAATTTGTATCACAATGTTAAACGAATGTTATTTAAGAAAGTATAAGCTCGAAACTAATTTTGAAGAAGGTTGCCACCTATTTGAATAATCCAATTTAGTTAAGTTATACGCAAGTTTTATGAAATATTAAAATAATGGCAATTCGGCGTCAACGCTTTTGTTTAGGTATGCCATTTAGTGTAAAAGCCGGCGGTACCTGCAACAACTTGTGAGTCGGAAGGGAGATTTAGCAAAGCAAGGCAAATAATTTCAGAGCGCATATGCTCTCTGTAATTAGCAATTCTGATCTCATAATCAATAAAAGTTGTTATGTCTAATTTT